GCACTTCCATGGAATCCTTGCGCTACCCCGGAAGGGAAGTCCTTCGGGTTCGTTTCGAACGGATTACGCTAATTCAGAAAGAATTGAAAGAAAAAGAAAAGCGAATCCTTTTTATCTCTCAACAATCATCTGCGCTGTCTGGGCTCAAAATCACGCTGGGCAACGGATGATCGGAGAAAATTCGTCGAAAACTTTTTTTGCTCTCGCGCTTATACAAACATTCAAAAACGATGCGTCAAGACGTCGCGCGTGCGCCAAGAGAAATGATAATCGAGATACAATTCGTTATTCTTTCTCTCTCTTATGATCGGTTCTGTAAATCAAGCTAATGTCTTAGGTAAAAAAAAAATACATATGTACATATACACACACACGCACGCATGTACACGTACGTGTACACGTACATGCGTGCGCGTACGCGGTAATGAAATCGTTTGGAACACGAACCGCGGCCGGGTTCTTACGCTATTAAATGTATACATCTCTGTTGTCTGCTAATTGGCTTAAATACTTTGCATTTTGCGACAGTTGAATGGAGTGGACAACTTCATCCCGAGACGGTGGCTCTCGAACTCGAGATGGAAAAAGGAAAAAAAAACGCGCATGTCGGGAAAGCGAAAGGAATCCTAAAAGGGGAGGTTCCCGTCCCGCTTCGCCGCGGGGCTTCCCCTCTCCCCGACGGGGGAGAGGCCGCTTGCACGCGCGGCGCGTTTTTTAAACGCATCCCCGCCTCTCCTCCCCACCTCGCCGCGTCCTCTCTCGCACGGAGTACGAAAGAAAGGAAAGGAAGAAGAATAATTTCTATTTCGCACAGCTCTCGTTTTCCTCGCCTCGCGCGTTCGACGCGCGTCCCACTCGGCGTTTTAAATTGCTATTTCCCCCCCCCCCCGATTCGAGAATCGTACCCTACCCGCGCGTACGCTACCCGTGAAACAATTTCCCCTAAAACTTGTTCGACCTGGACACGCCGGCGTCCTTTCGCTATAAAAAAAAAATTAAAAAAGGAAATGGACCCACGGTCCGCCAAGGGGGTACGTCACCGAGTGTGACCCCCGCGCGAATCTCGCCGGCTTCCTTTCGCGTCGCGTCAGGTAGAGGAGACCTCGGTCGCGTTACGGAATAAGACTCCGGACTTCCTGGTGTCTTCTCGCAATGGCCTCGAGAGGATAAGTTTGCTTCTCAGGAGTCGCAGCCGGTGGAAAGACGAGAACGATGTCGATCGGCTCGATCGACCTTCTCCTCCACCTGACGCTATAAGTGACCCTCGCGGTCATTAATAAATAACGAGTGCCGCCGAAGAATCGCGCTCGCCGCTCTCTCAAAGGTAATCGGTGGATTATCACTGATCGCAGTTACAAGTGCACCATCGCGAGACTATTCACATTGCTTTTCAGTGACGACCCACTGATCGAGAGCTAGGTCAGTCTAGCGGTCTTTGGGTTTCAGGATAACTCAGGGCTCTCGGCAGACGCGTGTATGCCTCAAGTTTGCCAAACGGTCAATTGATACAATTGCGACTCGACTCGAACATCGTACTTTCACTCCGTCGTCCCTCCTTGGCGGGCCGCGCGCCGCTACAACCGATCGATCACTTTGCTACAGGTAAACGATAATATAATCATCCGGTGACAAGAAGAAAAACGAATCAACAATATCGACGAAAGCCAGAACGAATGCGCTTCGTATATGCATTTTATCAAACGCGGCGCTGTGCCCAGGAGTCCGTCGTGGTTCGGATTGTGCGCGCCTCTCTCCGGAGGAGAGGAGATCCGGTATCAAAGTTGGGGCATCTCGTGCGTGCCGTCCCGATCAGCGAGAACCGCCGTCAGCGCGGCCGAAGCGGAATCGGCGAAGCGACTCGAGCTCCCGGACGACGACCAAAAGTGGCTCCGAATGTTTGTCTCTGAGAATGTCGTGAACACCGTTGCTCGACGGGACTAGTGAGCACAGCGTGTAACAAGATGAATTCGGAAGAGGGCACGTGACATATATATACATATAAAATAATGTATAATGTATAACATTATGTACGTTCATATTATTATATTATACATATTATGCATAATATGTATAATATTATATGTATATATTCCTTTTATATGTATATATATATCGCACATTGTCTATATTTATAGAGCGTACTGATTTTTGCCGTTCAACAAGGTATTGTTCGCGAGGACGCTCAGAATTTGTCACAGAAAATCCCGAACGTCCCGCCGTTTAATCTCTCTACACCTAACAAATCATATCCTGTACAACTTCAACTGCGGAAATGATCAAAAAGGTCATTGAGGTAAGGTGCGACATATCCCCATATTTTACGTTTCCTCCTTTTTTCCCCCCCTTTTTTAGACGATTTTTCCTCAGAGAGCTGCTCTCCTCTCTCTTTAGATATTTATTTATGTCATAGTGAATCTATCTATTTTAAGCATTGCTTTCGAGCTATCTAATCACAACACAGACTCATTATGACCCTTGAAATTTAATGTATCTTAAGCACCGATTGCCGTAAAATCTCAATGCGATATAAAAACATTTATGGTACAAGTGTCAGTGGGCTTCGTATTCCTATTTGTCCATTATTTATTAGATACTGTTAGAAAATTTGTTTTTCGTTCGGTAACTTATTATAAATTCGAGTATAACAAACTTCAACATCTGAGTTGCAATATAGAATGTCTCGTGTATATCTCGTTAAATCGTAATCTGCAAATGTTCTTGTATTGCAGGTGTATAAAAATATACAAATCATTCGAAAGGCCGCACGAATAAAATGATTCTTAGCAGATCGAATGGCTTGTGAAACGTTAGACTTTTCTCAGCTACTCGAAAGTATCTTATATTTCTCATATATTTACAACTAATACAACAAGAATTCAAATCTAAATTTCATAGTGAGACTCGTTACTTTTCCAGAAAATACATTATAAGAATTCTCTTGGTCGTCTAATACCTTTTCTTTTTGGCCAAGCTCTTTTGACAACAGTCGCAGTCATGCAGACGAAATTGCTTTGCCGCTGCTTTATATTTACGCGTTAAAATTTTCGTACAAAACAAAAAAAAAGACATCGCAATTAAAATGTTAAAGATGACGGTTACATTGGGAATTACACATGTAGCTTCATTTATCGGAGACCACAAAAAAGAAACAATTAAAATTAGATATAGAACGTCTTAAAAGTAATTTAACAACAATAAATCGGTAAGATCCGTCAACAAAAAAAAAAGATTACGCTTGTCCCATATATAATGCAATAAATGTGACATAATACAGATAAATTATTCTCTAAATTTTTCAAGTCTTCGTTCATATATTCTCTTTTATATGGAAGAGTATAAAAAGCCGCAAATATATAAAATATACCTTGTAAACAGACTTGGTATTTCCATATTTTGCTATCGCGATTACAGAAAAGCAACATGCATAATTCTTTAAGATTTCTTTCTCTTTACAGCATATATTATTATTTTCTATTAAAAGTCATACTTTTTTTTCCTTTGTAACATCTGGGTGGTAGGGATTATGGTTGCATTTTAATGGTTTGCCTTCAGGTACTATACTACACTTACAATTGGTAGTTTCGTGACAAAATATGGTTGATGATAATAAGAAAGAAATTATTAATTTCTATTTTTGTTCGTCATCTAGTCTTACAATACATAAATAATAAAAGAGTCACATTTTAATGGAGATTTAAAATATTGAGCCGAATAAAAGTAGAGTCCTCTATATAAATAAAGGGGCTACATTACGAATGGTGCGAATGGCATAAGCGCAGCGACCATCGGGGCAAAACGGCAAAAATCAATGACGATTGGCGTTGGAAACATGTGTATGCGAGTACGCGCGTATTGTTTATTATAAAGTATCTAGGTTCTTTGTATGATTATATCATTCTTGATCGATCTTACGTGTATGCTGCTTTTTAACTTTCTTATTACTGCTTTTTTTTTTATGTATAAATATGTATTGTTAAGCCGCGCAAACCTCGTTTGTTTAAAGTCCTTGTTCAACAACAAACTAACGTTTGCAACATCCTTGTCTTCCATTAAAGTAAATAAAAGATTCGAGTTTACAATGTCTGTGTGTGTACGTGTGTACGTGTGTGTGTTTTACCTCCTCACACTTAAAAGCTAAACCCTAAAGCTGCACTCTTATCATTCACCTAAGTGTATTGTACAAATAACTAGCAGTCAACGCGACTGTTTGCTCGCAAGTACTTGCTAAACCGTTTACATTCTTGACATCGTGTATAAAACTCTATTGGAGTACATGCTTACATTGGTAATTCTTACTCTTTCCTCCCTTTTTTTTACGCGGTAATAATAGTAATTATCACTTTTTCGCTCTCTAGGCCACACAGTTTGGTTGCCGAAAGTTTTCCGCTCAGCCGTTTCTGCTAAAAACTGCTAAGAGTGTCTGTGGAAATCGGGCAGGACCCGAGAGGCCAGCTGGGTTCATCCTCACTAGACCATTACTGTCTGTCCATGCTCGAAGCTTTCGTCAATCTTCCGTGTTAGACACATATATTCATTCTCAACATAGGGCCAGTCAGCTTGATAAAAAATACGAAAATTCAGCAACGTAACAGAAACAGAGGTTCCTTCTCACACCTTCTTTTTTCCATCGCATTATCTCCTACTCGTTGGACTTTTCATACAATCGTTAACGCCGCCGAGCTTAGGGTACTTTTTCGTTTCTATGATCTCTTGACACACAGAGAGATTTGGGCTTTGTGACTTGCGGTTGTTTCGTGGATTTTCCGGGAAATTTCGTTTGCGTTTTTCAGAATTGTTCAGCCAAACCAACGTGTCCGAAAAATTTTTTGAATCCATTGCCGAAGTTAAAGCTAATCGCGACACCATGTTTCTTTTTATGTCCTCTTGACTTTACGATGAGAAAGCAGCATCGGGGAACGACTTCCAAGATGTTTCAACATGCCATTTTTCCTTCTGTCAATTTTGTTTTCTTGTCAATGCCACGATAATATCATTCAAGGCGTGCCGTCTCTGTGAATCAGCTACTCATCTTCTTCACGGTCTTACGTTCGCGACAAGCTGTATTGTCCACCGTTCAGTTGCCTCTCTTGCCACTTTAGTGGATAGCAACTGGGCTCTGTTGGACGCATACCCCGACCATCGGGCTGTCTTCTCTCTCTGGATCTCGCTGGTTACCGGACGACACCGTTGACGGCTGTCTAACCATACCGTGTGTATCAGTAGCCGAGTAGCCGTAGTTGTAGAAGTTCTGCTGCTGAATCATTGGCGAGGTCATCATCGCAGGCAGGGGTATACCAGGAAGAATTAGGCTATTGTACGATCCAAGAGAGCTCTGTATCAGGGAGCTGTCCATGGATTGCATGGACATCGGGGCGGACGCGGGCACCCCAGTGGCCGACGTTGACGGGTAGCCCGTTGTTATGGCACGCCGGCTGCCCGTGTGACGGGGCGAGGACTCGCACTCCATGGGCTGGTAGCCGCCACCAGGGAGACTCGACGCTTGCATCTGCTGCAGACTGCCGCCGCCGCCGCCACCGCCGCCGCTGCTGCTGCTGCTGCTGCCCTGTCCCGACATGGTTACCAGTCCTGGGACATCGAAAAGAGATCAAGTCAGTAGGGAAAACGGGATGTAATCTTCTCGCGATATAGATACATACATATATGTATATAGATATACATATATATACACACTAATGCCATAGTCATCCACGAAAACCGCTCTAGCTTTTACAATCGAATAATTACTAATGGGAATAAAGATAAATAAAATTTCAAACGTCTACAGGGACATTTGCAGGCAATAATCTCCACCGCTACCACTTTTCCTTTACGCACGCTCGAAAGGACGTGACGATACATTTTCTTTAAACATCGGACAAGCGTGTCGCGATTACTCTTTTTCTCCATCCCCATAAATTCAAACAGCCAAGTCAATCGAACAGATATTTTACACGCCACACCATAATTAATTACGAAATTGTCCATCTTAATTCCTACGCAAGGTCTCTATTTCATTCGCTGCAACGCGTATGCTCGCGGAACGATTCGCCAAAGTTGTCAAAGTAATTATTTCGAATTATGTTATACGAGTAGCGTACTTGAGGAGATATGAGATCGTCACGTAATCGCGTAATCGATTTGCATCGTGATCTTCTCTTAATTATATAATTTAATGTGCAATTGGGATTTTACATTAGGCAAACTCAAGAAGAGGGGGGGGGCGGGATACAATGGTAAATACATATATGTATATATGTATATAAAATGTATATACATATATATTACTGATATAGACAAGACTTATTTCACAGAAACGTTACAACTTCATGTCCCATTTACAGCATTGCACTTGTAAAGTGCACGATGCAAGCAGCTAAAGCATGCACAAAAAAAACTAGAAGACAATGATGTGAGAAACTTTTCTACAAAACAGAAAGTCGCTTAACACAGATGCAATACTTTCAGTTGGAATATGTTCTGTCAATACTCGTCCTCCGACGCGACAATTTGCGCGTAAAACAATTTGCCACTTTTAATCACGGGCGAAAACACGAGAAACGCGACAAGAGGGAAACATATTCCAGCAGTGACATGATGCTATTTTCTTTGTCTTTTTTCTTGTCCTTATGTTCTAAGATATAGTCATCAAAAAGGACAGTCTCGCGTCATAATGAATAATTGGCCTCACAGTAGACGTTAGTCGTATTAATACATCGTGTCGATAAAGTTCAGGAGGCACGGGCTAGCAATATCAATCCGTGTCCCAAAAGGGAGTATCTTCAAGCAAGCAAAGCTTCGCGCAAATACATTCGAGGCCAGGATATGACTTTATCAGGGACATCGTTAGTCTTTTAGCGTGTGTAGGATTGTTTGTTAGATACAGAACTTACTTATGTTAGTAAGTAAGATTAGGGTTGGGGCCTAGGACAGGTCGTCGCCGCCCCGCGGATACGACAGTCATCGAGCCACGTATTGTCCCCCCATCATATCTACGGGCAACAACAACAAGTATCGTTTAGTTTGCGCAGAAAATAAAAGATGCCGTTAATAAAAGGGGGATTATCTTTAAACCGCAGAATCAAGCGTAACATTTGTCAATGCGGAACGAGTATCCTCGATGTTGCCTGATAATTATTCGGCCCGCACAATCTCGGTTCTTAAGAAAAGGCCGACAGTCGAAAGCACGTCGCTTTAAGAGATTGTAAACGAAAAAGGATGGAGGATTTCTTATTTTCTGCACAAATCAAAACTCCTTCCTAAACTCTCAGTAGAACTGTCTGTCTTGAGTTTCCGTTTATATCTACCTTGTGCTCAATTTACTCAAAGATAGTCAAAAACAGCTGTCATATCATGATCAAATTCATCTCTTTCTCTATTTTCTCTTTAAAATCTCTCGGAAAAACGATTTCAAATGTTGGGAATTCCTGCAAGCTCTCAAGAAATCTTTTCCGACCTAAACAGAACATGTGATTGCAGTTAAACATTAGCCTGCCTCTTGATTGTTACATTTGTACAAAGCTATCTGTACAGATAGCGGACAGTGAGAGACAAAGTCGTGAGACTTTTCTTTTCTATAGCGGCATCCATTTGCTGAGAAGACCGACTCAGAGGAAACTATGGATTAAATGTATCATTAGGTGAAGTAATCAAATATGATATTAATAATGAATGATGAATGAAATCAAGCGACATAGAGCCATACTTTGATAGTAAGATCATATTTCTCGCTGCAATTAATCGTTTAAGGTACAGTTATTGTGACATAATGCAAACCTGACACGTTTTCAACTTAAGCCGTCGTTAATCTGAATCATGGTGCCCGTGCGACACGGAGTTACACGTGGACACGAATAAGGGCCAATTCTCAACGTTGAAAACCTGCCAGTTTCGGAGAAACTCAGATGTGAAGCACATAAATGCGTATTCGGTACTTCTCTCCTCTATGTTACACAGTAATTCGGCAAAATGGGGGCGGCGCCAAACGACTGATCCAACTTACCGTGATCCTGGCTCATCGACACCACTGCCGGACTCGTGCTCGCGCTATTGGCAGCGGCGACATTCGTGTTGGTCCCCTCGTCGGCTGTCCTCTTAAAGAAGTTGTGCTGAAGCGCGTAATACGGCGTTACCCGTGTTTTCGGATCGAAGTCCAACATCCGTACGATTAGGTCCTTAAACTTGAGATAATCGGACATCGAGTGGCCCGGCTCGCCCATCCTCCTGCCGCCGGGGCCGCCGTTCTCGACACCTAGAATATCGTGCAAGCGCCTCGTGCCGGGAGGTTTGTATTTTTTACCATCCTTGGACTTTTTCAGCACGTACGAGCCATCCGTGGGGACTTTGTCAAAGTACTTCCGCGCCTTGTGCGCTTGGTCCAGTATATGTTTCGGCGGCATTCCTAGTACTTCTACGATTTTGTTCATTTGATCGACCTGCGAATCATACGAGAAGTCATTTACGCTGCCAGAGATCTTATACACCGAGTGCAACGTGCGCATTCTAAATAGAGTACATTATTTTCAAAGCATCTTAACGCCATATAAACGGCGTAGCGTCTCGTGCTAATGACTAATTATCGAGAGCTACAGATTCGACGCGACTGGAAAGAATCCGCGTGAGCGATGTTCGGTCCTTACCTCGTTGGCCCCACTAAACAGAGGTTCTCCCGTGTGCATTTCTACTAAAATACATCCCAGACTCCACATGTCTATCGCGAGGTCATAAGGTATTCCTAATAGGACTTCTGGAGATCTGTAGAACCTGGACTGGATATACTGATATATCTGCGAACGCGAAAAGAAAGAGAGAGAGAGTGAGGTAAAAAGGATGGCGACGGAGCGAGAGCGTTCGCTAATTAGTGCTTTCTAAGATACCCACTCTTTGTCCAAGTTGACACGAGCTACCAAAGTCGACTATTTTTATCGCACTTCGTTTGGGATTGCACAAGAGGATGTTTTCAGGTTTCAGATCACAGTGAATGATGTTCAATTCCGGCGTAGACAGGAATAAGAGGGCAGTACACAGTTGCTGTGCAAACTTTCTCGTCAAGTTCAATGACACACCTCGGAAATTCGTATTTCTAAGTAGGTCATATAGATTATACGATAGCAGCTCGAATACCAGACATAAGTGATTCCGCCACATAAAATGCCTCTTCAGTTTAACTGCAATCGGAAAGGGACAGGGCATTAGACGTCACGTCGCGCGATATCTGTTAACTGCAGCGCGCACAGAGCGCTCGCGTACCTATATAATACTTGTTGTCGGTATCCGCTCTGTTCATCATTTCCAATAGCCTAACTTCGATTTGCGCTTGATTGAGAAAAGGCTTCTTGTTCTTGATGATTTTTATTGCCACTTGCGTTTGCTCGTCGTGGTCAAATGCCTTCACTACTTGGCCAAAACTGCCTTTACCTGTAAACGGAAAACGCATGAGCACGTCGAACAGCTGCGAAGAGTAAATTCGCGATTGTTAAAAACAAAAAACAGACAGTGTCTATGAAATATATTTGAGAAACAAAAATTACCGACCACGCCATCGCGAAATTACAATTTGTCCGGTAAGATAACAATCGGCCCGCTATTATTTGCCTAAGCACACGCCGCCTGTTTCACTCTTACCTATTAACGAATCGATCTCGTATCGATCGAGGAACTTTTCCCCATTCTTGATGATATAATCGTGATTATCGTCGTCCCAGCCGTCGTTGTAGAGTTTCCTCTCCTTCTTATGCGAGCCATCCTCCCCTTGCATCTGCTGTGCTCTCCTCTTCTTCTTCGCATAATAAACCTGGGAAGGAAATCGACGTAATTAGTCGCGATATCCTCGACATACAAGACCCGCGGGCCTCGTCAACAGTTCATCCTCGACGTTTCCGTTGTCACGTCGAGGAAAACGATCGAAGTGAATTTAATCAGTTTCGCAAACGCAACCATCTATAATTATCTCTAGCATTCGTCTTATTTCCGTCAATCTGTTCTCCCTCTCGTTTTCGAGAACGCGCGCGCGCGCGCGGATGGTAAAGTCCCACATTATACCATTATCAAAACGCCGTGATATTCATCGGGGCTGGTTTACGAGGTGTATTAAACCCGAGAGCGGAGTCCCTCGCCGGGTCGCCGATCACGCGCGATCGGCGCGTTCATTGAGGGGGGGGGGGAGAGAGAAAGGTAACTCCGCTCGGACAAACGAACGACCGATTGGTCCGAAAGTTCGTGCGACCCGCTTATCTTTATCAATCCGCCGGACCTAGCGGACGGGGTTACATAACGAGCCACGCGGCCCGAAGTTATTATTCGCGCATGTAGGCTGCAGGTCCATGACGTTCGGCGAGATGAGGTGAGGGAGGGAGGGAGGGTGAGAGAGAGAGAGAGAGAAACTAGCCCGATCGATCGCTTATATTTTTCGACGGTGTACAAGTTGCCGAAGAAAACGCAAAGGGCTCGCGTCCGCCGGCCTCTGCCCTCCCCCTCCCCCCGCCAGCGATGTACCCCGGTGAAAACGGTGCCGCGAATCGTCCGCGGGGGGAAAAAAGGGCGCAATCGTATAATTCGCCGTAAATATCCTCCCGCGTCTACGGGCCGGGAGGAGGGCGATGGTAGGACGGCCGCGCGCGACGCGAGAGGGTGGAAGGGACGCGGAAGGGCGGGGGCGGAGGGCGGCGCGGGGACGGGGGTGGCAAAAGGGAAAAGGGCGCAGAATCCGATCTGCCGACTCCGTCCCGGGAATCGATATGCTCGCGACCACGTGAAAACCACGCCGTTGAAAAGCGACGGTCGGCCGCTTCGCGGGGCGTAAAACCCGACTCGACGCCGCGCGCGCGAGGGACGATCGACGAGGGACGATCGACCTCTCTCTCTCTCTCTCTCTCTCTCCCGGGCCTCCGGCAAAAATTTCGCGCCGATGAGACGAGGGAGAGAAACGTCGAGGAGGACAGGGGGAGGGGGCGCGAGAGAGGGCCCCCGCGGATCGGGCAGGACGGTGGTTGTTCGGTTGGCACGCCTCCACCGGGTCATCGACACGGTGATGGTCAGCGCTGTATCGGCGTCTACTAGTTACTCTATTTCGGCATCGATTGTACCGT